GCTGAACCATTGTGTTGCTTCTTGTTTTTCTTAATAGAAGACTTCTCAGCACTTTTATCTAGTTCACCAAAATTTTCAGCTTTTCCTTGTGATGCATTGTTATTTACTGGTTGCTCACTTCCCTTGGATGATTTTGAGCTCTCTACCTTCCTGCGCTTGGATTCTTCATCTTCTTTGTTGTCGGCAGGCTGTGAATCATTTCCTTCAGAAGCTAATCTTTTTCTTTTTTTGGAACCTTTATTCTCCTTATCAGTAGCATCCACATCTGATATCTTGAAATCATATTTTCCAGAACTAGTTCCATTCCTATCTCCTATACTAAGCGCCTTCCCCTTCTCACCACCTAAACTTTCAGAAACCAAACCATCTTTCTTTTTCTTCTTACTTTTAGGTTTGACACTCTTCCCATCCATTGGATTGTCATCAGCAACTGATTTACCAATTTCAATTGCATCATTTTTTCCTTCCAAGCCATGCTGCTCTACACCAGCACTGAAAGAATCGGTACTTGACTTGTTCTTCTTTTTCTTCTTAACCTTTGGTTTCTTTTCTATCTCAGAATCACCAACACCATTTTCCTTTAAAAGTACAGCATCCTTAATTTTTTTTTCAGTTGCACCAAGAAACTGCTCTGATTGATGTTCTTCTGCTGCACCAGCAAGAGAACCAGAAGCTATCTTGGACTTCCTTGCCTCCTTGGATAACTTATCCGCCATTACCAGCAATTGGAAGGTATCCTTAAATACTGTGCAGAATTAAAAAATTAACATAAGCACTACATACAAATAATGAACATATAACTACATCCTGAGACTCATATTCATACGCATAAGAGAAAGAAAGAGAGACAGAAAGAGAGAGAGAGAGAGATGCACGATGAAAACCAAAAATTATTTATAAATTCCTGCATACCTTTCTCCTCGCTGTGAACATTTGTGTCTCCACTACTACATAACAGAAAAACACAAGTTAAATTAGAATAGAAACTGAAATTTAATGTTTATCTAAACAGCAGTATAATCACCAAATGTATTTGAGGCATTATGGCAGTCTGCCAGACAGCATCAGGATTTTTCCCATTAGATTTCATGCTAGTGATTGCCATCAGCACAATTCTAGGATGTTGAACAAAAACCTAAGATAACCCTCTAATTAAAACTATTATTTAAAAGAAAATCCTTTAATTTGAAACTACTTAAGCATTAAAACAAAATCTATCACAGTTGTGATAACATTGATTTCCTACTAAAGGAACACTACAAAATCATCAAATCCCAAATACCTATACCATGAAAGATTAGCATAATACCATCCTTCTTTCTAACTCCACATCGCTGAACTTACAAAAAATCAGAAACAAAAAAAGTTTCGTAATTTATGTTGCCACACGAAAAATATCATCTGTATTAAACTCATACCGTTGAATACTTTAAATAAAAGCGTGTAAAGATTTAAAGAACCATTTTAAAAGTATTTGAGAAGAAGTTACAATTGATGACCGTCTTCATATAAATTCATTAAGAGAAGAAAAATAAGTTGAAGAATTGGTCAACTCACCGCATCTCAGAATACTTGCAGTAAATTTCTCCCAAATCCAGTGGCAAATCCTTCAGTTCACTTTTCTGCAAAAGGGTCAATAACCAATTCTGAATTCAATTCACTAACAACCACAGAATACAGTAGACACTTATCGTATTGAAAGTCTAATACTTGGTTAAGAAATTGTCCAACTCCATCTTATGCGACAATGTTACGAGTGCATTACTATTCATTCATATTAGATATGAACCAGGCCAACGAAAAAATCATAACGGATACGATAACAATACTGGATTAACTACTGAAGGTCCAAAACAAACTGTAAAATGCTCTACAGAGAATGCATCGACCATTTAGGCATTTTTCAAGAGTAAATTGTTGCAATGGCTTTTGGTCCTGCAATTTTAATCAAATTGGAGCAATGGTGGAATCATGGTTCCAATTGGATTAAAGTTGAGGATCATTTTTCCAGTTGAATTAAAGTTGAGGGACCATTGATACAAATTTTTTATATGATTTTTCATATTTGCCCCTTAATTTAGCTTTTCATAGAAGTTCTAACGGAATTGACGAAAATGGCTGCACATTTTGATGAGACGAAAGACCAATGGTAATTAATCAATGTTCAAAACAACTTGTTGAGAATGCAACAATAAAAATTCATGTATGCTCTGCATTTTCATATTTTTCTAGGCAACCAAACAGAAAATAGACAAGGGCCCACCTCGATTCCAGCTTCAGAAAGGAACTTTTTCAAGGTTTTGGAGAACCCATTGTTTTCCAGGAACCGAGCCACGGCGCGGAGGAGTGGACCCTTCTGGTCGGGACTCAGAGTTTGTGCTCCGTTGGCAGAGCTATTAGGCTTCCTGTGCTCCATGTCTCGGTTTGCGAGCAGAACTTGGCGAGGCTTGAATGCGAGAAGGGTAGGGTTGATAGCGTCCTCCTGCGTGCTTGTTAGGGATTTGGGCATGCGAGGATTCTGCTCTGAGTAGGTTTATTGGAGGAGGACGAGGAGGGAGAAGGCTCCAACGCCGACTGATGAGGTTTTAGGAGGAATTAGGGTTTATTCGTGGCTGTGATTCAATATTCGGACATGGAGTTTGACATAATTACGAACAATAACATTATATTGGAGTACTCATCACTCACCGTGAAATGGATGGCTAAATCGTCAAAACGGTCTCTAGGATCTGCATAACAAATCACTTTGGTTCCTAAGATTTCAAATTAATAGAAGTGGTTCCTGAGATTGTCCACCATCCATCATTTTGGTCATTCTGCTAAAAACTCCGTTAAGTGTCCCGAAACTCTTGGCCAGAAGTTTGGGCAATTTTCAAAGCTTCGTAATTCAATCGTTTCTTAACCAAATTCGATCCATAATATATCACGATGAAGATAGGAAAGTGTAGAATGAGATTATACCTATTTGAAAGCCCAATGGTTGCCGGAGCTGGTCGAAAAATATCCTCAAAGTTGACTGGTCCAAGGGAAAACTAGAAAACTCGTTGGCAACTGGGTAAATTTTATACGTTAATAACTATTTCAATACTCAACGAAATCAAGTAATTCAAAAATGATGGCGATTTAGCCACTTTCGAGACCAAGATCGCCACTTTCGAGCAGTTTTCGGCCAAATCACAGCGATTTAGCCATCAAAAAAGCTACCATTCTCTTCATCTCGTCGAGAAGTATGATTTTTATTTTTGAATCACTTGATTTCGTTGAGTATTGAAGAAGTTACGAATGTTTAAATTTTACCCAGTTTCTGGGGAGTTTTCCCTTGGACCAGTCAACTTTGAGGCTATTTTCCAGTCATCTCCAGCAACCATTGGGCTTCCAAATAGGTATAATCTTATTCTACACTTTCCTATCTTCATTTTGATATATTATGGGTCGAATTTGGTTAAAAAACGATTGAGTTACGAAGCTTTGAAAATTGCCCAAACTTCCGGCCAAGAGCTCAAGGACACTTAACGAACGGAATTACCAAAATGATAGATGGTGGACAATCTCAGGAACCAATTCTATTGATTTGAAATCTCATGGACCATGTTGGCGATTTAGCCGAAATGGATTTATGTTTTTTTTTTCTTTTTGGTCAAACAAAATTACTTTCATTAAAAAACTAGTACAAGAAAGAGAGACCCAAAGGCCTCTCATAAACAAGAGTAGGTAAAGCAAATGGCTCAGACAAAATAAAAGTTGTAACCCAAGATACAATAGGAGGTCCAAACAAACTTAGGCATGTAGGTAGAAAAAGCAAACAACAAAAAACCTAATCTAAAGCAGTATAAACCAAATCATTGTCACCGCTGCATCCTTAAAGGAAGCCAAACTCTGAATCGAGAGCGTAGATACCAGATCCAAATTCCCTTCACAAACCCCTGCAAATATATACAAACAAATTACCATATGGATAGAAAGTGAGGTTAAGGGGTATGTAAAATACCCTTACTGTGATGGAGGCTATAGAACACTTGGTCTAGATGGGAACCGTCATGTGGGTTGGGGGAGGAAAAGTGAGGGAAGGAGGTGGATCTAATATCCAATTTTGGATCGGAGCCCGCAAATCCAAGCATATGATGGAGGTGGGATGGATATCATGGCTAAAGAGGGGGGAGGAAGGAAAAATAACAAATAGAAAGTAGTAAAAATGGGTGAAAAACAAGACTAGGAAGGAAGAGGGGGTGGGAAGCTGTAAGAGGAAAGGGGTAAAGGAGATGGGAGGGGAGGAAAAGAGGGAAATGGAAGAAAAAAGGGATATGGCAGAGGAGATGAAAGGGAAGAAGGAGGAGAAGTGGGAGGGTATAGCGGATTGTGAGAAAAAGGGACGGAGAAGAAAATAAGGGTAGGTTGCCATTGACACCCAAGCTAAAGGTTAGGGCTGGCCACGAAGTAGAATGCTAGGTTGGTGTTTCAATAAAGAGAGTTTGTTTTTCTAGAAAGAGAAACTAGAGAGAGTTTGTTTGGTCTCATTCTAACCGATTGAGCTTTGTGTTTAAGTTACAACCAAGTAAAAATTGAAAATCTACTTATTATTGGGTCCTACGTCCATTATCTCAGTCTCTCTCTCTTTCATAATTGTTTGGTTTTGAAGTTAAGAAAAGCCAATACACACTCGCACAACAAAACTTTTACTTGTTGACAACATCTAAGAACGACACACTTGTAACTTTCTCTTTCAAGCATTTTTGTAGCGTTGAGTAACGAAGAAACACTTGACGAAAATAGTTTGTTCGAACAGTAACTGAGTCCAATTTAACGCAACACTATCAAATAAAATTTCAAAAATCTCTAGTTAATGGATGAAGTGGTTAATTTATTAATATAATAGATCGAATTTGGATTACTAATTAGCTCAACGGGTCAAATTTAGATCATCCATATAAAAACAGTTTTTGCTCAATCTGACCCAAATCCACTAAACGCAACGCATTGTCAGCTCTAGATTATAGCCACCACCTAAAACCCTAATTTTTGTTTCCTCAATCTCTCTTTACCTGCAGCCGCCACCCGCACTCTACTCCTTTGTACTTCTTCTACTCCTGATACCATTTTTGCAGAGAGAGAGATGGGCGAAGAAGTGAAGGCGGCGCCGGTGGTTCCGGAGTCAGTGTTGAAGAAGAGAAAAAGAGAGGAGCAATGGGCCCTTGCTAAAAAGCAAGACCTTGAATCTGCCAAGAAGAAGAGCTCCGAAAACCGCAAGCTGATCTACAACCGGGCCAAGCAGTACGCCAAGGAGTACGATGAGGAGGTACATACGCAATACACGTTTGATTAGTACTGTTCTATTTATTTGATCAATTTTGGAATTGATACTGGGATTTCAATTGGGTTTTGATGGTCTAACTTGTCCCCTTTTTTCAGCAAAAGGAGTTGATTCGATTGAAGCGCGAAGCAAAACTGAAGGGTGGGTTTCATGTAAACCCAGAGGCCAAGCTGTTGTTCATCATCAGGATTCGTGGGTATGTATGAATTTGGTTTAATGCCGATTGCGTTTGTATTTTTTTTTTTTTTTGTTTGTTTTTCAAGCAATCGATTTGTTAGATAAAATGTTGGATTAGGGAGCCGACAGGGTTCGAACCCATGCCAAACGCTCCGCTCTACCACTGTGGTAGAGGGCCACTCGTTGATTGGGTTTGTATTTGGTTTAATGCTGATTGTGATCATTGTCTTGGTGTTTTTTAACATTCAGAATCAATGCTATTGACCCAAAAACTAAGAAGATTTTGCAGCTTCTTCGATTGAGACAGGTAAAATCCTGATCGAATCTCGTATTTCTGGAATGGGTAATTGCAGTAGAGTAATAAAATGCAATTGATATTTTAATTCTCTGGTTTTCATTCGATTTTTGGGTTGTTGCAGATATTCAATGGTGTGTTCTTGAAAGTAAATAAGGCCACATTGAACATGCTTCACAGGGTTGAACCCTATGTGACCTACGGGTATGTCATTTTTTTTTCGTTTCGAGCTTCATAGTCTCATGATCGTTTATCCCGGGTTGTTTTGTTAATTTGATGTAATGGACTTCAGGTATCCTAATTTGAAGAGTGTCAAGGAGTTAATCTACAAGAGGGGTTATGGGAAACTTAACAAGCAGAGAACTGCTTTGACTGACAATTCAATTGTTGAACAGGTAGAGAAAGTACATGATTAGTAAAGTTTAATAACGTGATCAATTTTTGTTTAAACACATTGGCGTTCTTTCATTGACATTTCTTGAAATCACAGGCTTTGGGCAAGTTTGGAATTATCTGTGTGGAGGATCTTATCCATGAAATCTTGACTGTTGGGCCTCACTTCAAGGAGGCTAACAACTTCCTTTGGCCATTTAAGCTTAAGGCCCCTCTCGGTGGTCTGAAGAAGAAGAGAAATCACTATGTTGAAGGTGGTGATGCTGGAAACCGTGAAGACTATATCAACGAGCTCATCAGGAGGATGAATTAGATTTATGCAAGTATTCTTCTTTTTGAAATTTTGAGGTGTTCACTTCTTTTATTTTGCGTCCATCAACTTTATAAGACTTAGTTCTCCTATTTCGTCGTGAAATCTAATTAGTGATATCTTTACAAAATTTCAACGTGCTGGAGAACAAAGTATTAAATAGGAGTAAGCATGCTACATTTTTGGTTTCAAGTTCTCATGCCATCAGAATCTGCTGTCCTTGCCTATCAGTTTATTCAAAATTTCAACGTGCTGGAGAACAAATTATACCAAATTCAAAGGTAAGGTATTTTATCACAAAATTATATGAAGAACGAAGGTTTAGATTTTGCAAAAAATCTAGGGTTTAGGGTCTTGGAGAATCAAAACTTTGGAGTATGAAGATTTAGGGTTTAAGGTTTTGTTTTTGTTGTTGGCATCAAAACTTTGTATGAATCGAATCAGAGTAGCAAGTAGTGACTGTTTGGTGGACATCAAAGCAAAAGCCCTATCTATTTCTCTCCCTCTCTCTCTCTCTCTCTCTCTCTCTCTCTCTCTCTCTCTCACACACACACACATTGTTCCTCTAACCCTGAGAGGCTTTCTCTTGTAAAACTGACAATTGACCGAACGAATCTAATAGCTCTTGTTCAGATGTGCAACTTTAATGTGCGCTTTTGGTGTCCATTGACGAATTTTCACTAACGCTCAACCCTTCCCCTCTTCGGGTACGATGACTCTCTCTCTCTCTCTCTCTCTCTCTCTCTCTCTCTCTCTCTCACACACACACACACATACACATCGTTCCTCTAACCCTGAGAGGCTTTCTCTTGTAAAACTCTTAAGACATTTGACCGAACGAATCTAATAGCTCTTGTTCAGATGTGCAACTTTAATGTGCGCTTTTGGTGTCCATTAACGAATTTTCACTAACGCTCAACCCTTCCCCTCTTCGGGTATGATGACTCTAGACCGTCTCTCTCTCTCCCTCTCTCTCTCTCACATCGTTCCTCTAACCTTGAGAGGCTTTCTCTTGTAAAACTGTTAGACATTTGACCGAATGAATCTAATAGCTCTTGTTTAGATGTGCAACTTTAATGTGCTCTTTTGGTGTCCATTGATGAATTTTCACTAACGCTCAACCCTTCCCATCTTCGGGTATGATGACTCTAGATTGTCTTCCGCAATGTATATCGTATAATAGCTTTAAGAGGATGAGAGAGTGTGTTAAGCCTTACAATGGGCTTGCCATAATAATGTGATTCAACTTCGACTTGGCGAGAATCGGACTTAAAGCTGCTCTTACAAGTGAAGATGAATACAACTAGACTGTAGTGCTAAGTGATGCTTTACCATTAAACGTGTACAACATATTTACATAAAATAAGTAGTAATTGTTGATAGCTTTACCATTTACACCAATATTGTACAAATAAAGAGTTGTTCGAAATATAACCGCTCTTATTTTACAAACGTACTCCCAAATTGTGGTGCTTTGAACACTAAGCAATAGTTAAACTATATTTACACAACTTGTCTATGCTGCTTTTCAATGCCATTCCACTCTTGAGATCGATTCATTTTTCTCTTAAAAAACCAATTCTTTCATTACTAATCAATATAGCTTATAAATGTCAGTTACAAACATTCTCAAAATAAAAAACTTCTCGATTTACCAATAAGCAGAAATAATTAAACTGAGAAGCTACAAATATGTAATACGATTCCGATATGGCGTAATCATCAAGAATCAGAGTAAAATCGAGTTGGGTCATAGACTTTTGGAAGAACCTAGATTATAATATTAGTAAAATCGATATTGTGAAATTATGAAATTGTGAAATTGTGAAAATGTGATATTGTGAAATTGTGAATATGTCTTATGGTGAAATTGTGAAAATTGTGAAATTTGTGAATATGACATGTGAAAATTGTAGTTAATATGTGAAATTGTAGGAAAATAGAGAAATTTGAATAATTGTAGAAATATGTGAGAATTGTAATAAATTTCTGACAATTGTAGGAAATATGTGAAATTTGTAGGAAAATAGAAAAAATGTAAAAATTGAAGAGATATGTGAAAATTGTAAAAAATATGTGAAATTTGTTGAAAATTTGTAAAAATTGTAGAAATATGTGAAACTTTGTGAAATATTACGAAAATAGGAAAGAAATTAAATTTGTAAGAAAGAAATTAAATTCATAGGAACAAAATTAAAATTTGTAGGAGAGAAATTAAATTTGTAGTAAGGAAATTAAATTTGTAGGAAAAATAAATAAAATTGTAGGGACGAAATTAAATTTGTGTGACGAAATTTATTGTGTTATTTTTTCATAGATATCATTGTGGTTGATCAATAGTGGTTGCCACTCTGCCTCCACTTCGGGCCAAAGTGACCCGGGGGTAGAGATACCGAGTAGAACCCAGGCGGCCATTGTCGAGTCGTCGGCATGCCCCAATACAACTGCTACATTGGGTCGGGTGCCTCGATCTGCCAGGCATGTTCATAGTTAGAGACGGCACGAGCCTCGTGCCAGCCCCACCTCACCTTGTTGAAACTGAGGAGGCCGATGCCGATTCGGTAGCTATGCGCCCGAAAGGAGACGGAGAACTCGCAACTGGGAAGAAGACCAAAGTGTGGGGGATGAAATTTGACCTCCAACCGGATCATTGGCTTTTAGCATAACCAGATCGTAATCGATTACAACCACTCAATTGGCAAGCGAACCTGAAAGGCAACAGCTTGTTGACTCACGACATGAGTACCATCGTCTGCACCAAGTGTCCCATGCTTACTTCTTCATGGAAGAAGCAATCCCCAGGTGCATGACGATATGATGAGAGAGATTTCGGTATGTATGGAGTTTTTTTTAATTTAATATTTTGTATTTTTATTTATTAAATGCATTTTTTAAGCTAACACACTTTTTTTTTGTTTATTTCAGACCAATGTATCCATCGACATGCACCACCTGGGTACGAAAGAGTACATACACCGGGTGTGGGCTAAGCGGTACAAGGAGTGGAAGTATGAGATGCACTTGTACTACAATACTTATGCATTTCCTGTTGAAGCTTCTATCGATCACCCCCAGAGTTTGTGAAGAGGATTGCCAAGTGGGAGTGGTTATGTGGTCATTTTCAGAGCCTGATATTTTTGGTATATTTTTCTTCTAATTTTTTATTTGTTTATATTTAACTTTAATTAAAATTTTTAATTACAACGAAAATCGATAGCAAATAAGGCTAGCCGGGAAGCGAAGCCATCCCTTCATCATTCCGGTTCTGGCCCCTATCTTTTCGAATCAAGGAACGATGTGAGAAGGGTTCCTTTTTTTCGGAAGTCGAGGCTTGGGAGATACACATGCAATTACAAATTTCAAAACTATGATCGATAATTTTAATTGTTTTTTTTATAAGCTTTTATGTTGCAAAAGAAGGACTAGTCCCTTGCCTACCTCTCCCAACAATGACTAGACACGCCAATGGAAGAGCTAACACCTGATCCAGATGTGTCTTTGTAGTTGATGATGGACGGGGTTGGGTGAAGAAAAGGCAAAACGGCCTAGGAGCGGGTTGGATCGGGTTCGAGATCTCGGAAAGTCTTCTTCATCTAGTTGTCTGACTACGTGCAAGGTGTCTTCCAGACTATAGTAGTTGGAGATGGAGCTAGCAGTCGTGCCAACGAGGATAAGAAGCTAAAGAAGAAGCGTGCCAACGAGAATAAGTTGTGTGCCATCAAGAAAAAGCTCGGGAGGCAGTCATGCACTAACGAGATGAGGGCCTTCTGCTTACATTGATGGGATAGCCCAAACAATGTCAGCCTCTTGCATTTGCCTTCTTAATCCTTCGAGTGACCTTCAGCCACCATCCCACCAGCCACCCAGTAGTCATACTTAGTTTAGTATTTTACATATAATTGTATGAATATTTTATTTATAATAATCTAAAATTTTAAAATAAATCAAAATATTAAAGAATAGAATAAATAATATTTAATTTAAATATTGTTTTAGTTAAGAATTTTAAACAAAAAATTTAAAAACATTGTTCGACGATTCTTTCATTGGGCAAAATATTTTAAATTTTTTTGTTGCTGAAAACCTGGTGAAATAATAGCACGGCATATGTTTCATTCGTTGGGCCAAGTTGGTCAATGCACTTTCCTTGATGAAATAATTTTGTTGGGTAAAATACAATTTGTCTGACGATTTTGTACTATTTGTCAAGTGAACTCTGCACCAACGATATTTACGCGACTAACATTGCCTGACGGAATGGCTTTTAACTTATAAAAAAGGGCTTTTGTTTCATTTAAAAAAAGAAGATGGGTTTTGACACACCCCGATCGAGATCAGGGTATGCTGGCCGTCATGTGGAAGTGATGTAACCATGTGCACAGTGCGGAAGCTAATAAAATAATAATAAAAGTACGAATAAATAAAAACCAGCTTTACACAAAGTAAGAACATACATGTGCAAAGTGTGAAAAACAAAGTTCAGAGCTAGAAGACCTAATGCAGTCCGGGAGAAATAACACTACAAAAACACACCCAAAGGTGGTCCTACACTGGTGATAATCTGTCAGATATGTCGGGGAAATCCTTTGGGGAGCCACCAAAAGTGCTAGCCAACTAGAACCTGGAGAGGCACAAAACAAAAAGTGTGAGTGGGCAAAAACAAAGCTTTTCAAAAACCATTTCATAAACAAGGTTCTAACCCCTCGCCGTAAAACCTGTATACTTCCCAGAAAAATAGAATATACATATATATAAGTCATGCTCAGAAATATGCCATGCCAAAAGCCTCGAAATAAAATGCAAGTGCTCAGGTAATGTCAAATCAATGCTATGTAATCTGTTAGCCGGAGTCACCTAACATGACCTGTACGGCTGAATTTAGAGCTCAAATCTCCCTCTCGCTAACTATACCTGCACACGAGTCGGAACCACCTAAAGTGGTCTGTACGACAGGACTGGGTGTATAATAAGTACGCTCAAGTGCTATGATCACGTGAAGGCTGGGCGACTAATCGCGGGTCACTTACGAGTTGGAACCACCTAAAGTGGTTTGTACGACAGGACTGTGCACCTAACTTGGATCCAAGATGAGCGTGTGGTGCGGGATGTGAACATCACGTGAAGGACTGTGCCCAACTATGAGCCGAAGCACTAACATCGGGGGTGCAGGTTATGAGCTCTCTATGCATCTCAAATCATTATTGAACATGAATATAACCATAACTTACCTGACACTTACCTGTGCGTCTGCAGCACCAACATACAGATATATATATGCTACTAATAATGCATAAACAAACTGAAAACATAATGCATGGCATATAAATGTATAAACGTTTCCAATCACTTTCTGGGAAAAACGTAAGTATATAGGTATATACGGAAAACCCAAAGCCCACTCACTGATATTTAGAAGGGTTGTAACCCCCTTGCCTCGAGTGACCGCGCTCGTCCTCGGCATAGGTCTCACCTATATGCGAAACAACTATAAAAACGTTAATTTTAAAGCACATAACCAACCTTATGAAATAACTTCTCATACAATGCTCAAATCGGGTGTATGAATACACCAACGTGATCTACTTAACCTCAGGAACATCCCCATATTTTTAGAAAAATTTTCTGATGCTGCACGCGCCGGCCACGCGTAGGCACGTGCCTGGCACACTGACGATGTCAGTTAACGCTGTCAGGAATATTCTGTTAACTCTGACGGATTCCGTTAACGCCGTTAGGAATATTCCGTCCAAACTGACGGAATATTCCGTCATCTTCTCCGGCCAAACTTCGGCGCCGGAAAACCAGGAAAACTTCAAAACCTTGTATCTTCTTTGTTTTTCAACCAGATTTCACAAAATTGGTACCAAAATGAAGCCTACAACAAGAGGAACAAATCCATACCACTTTCAAGCACTAAAACCCACGGAATCTCTCCAGGAAAACACCACCAACTCCGGCCAAGCTTGAAACTCACGATCCCGACGTCGAAAACCTTCAAACGAACCACGTCGAGCCTCCTAAGGACCTCACCAAGCTTCCTACAAACTTGAAATTCCCAAAAACACAAGAATTAATGTGTGCATGAACAGTAACCAAATCGGGGTATCCCGAGTTCGACGTGAAAATGAAGGTATCCTTACCTGAAATGGGTATGGTTGAACTCCCAAGGACCTCACGAGCACGAATGTGTAATTTGTTTCCACGATCTGTGAAGGTTTCAATGGTTTTGGTTGTCGTCCGTACAAAGAGAATAGGAAAGTGAGAGAGAGAGGGCTCGGGATAGGGCAGGGAGAGAGGGTGAGTGAGTGTGGTGTGTGTGTGGTCCAAAACCGGCCAAGCAACACCCAAAAACAACCACACAACGAAACAACCATAATAGGGGCAAAATCGTTATTTCACCTCTACGATTCGAAAATCTGGAACGGGCTGTCACAACCTACCTACCTTATTAGAATTTCGTCCTGAAATTTAAAACAACCACACAAAGCAAACCCCTAGCGATCACAACTGAGGATACAAATCTCTCATCCGATCTTCAGTTTCCCAAGTAGCTTCCTCCACGGAATGATTCCTCCACAAAACTTTCACCAAATTCACTGTCTTGTTCCTCATAACCTTTTCTTTCCAATCTAGAATCGTCACTGGTTCCTCATCATAAGTCAAATCCGGATTGATTTCCAAGGGTTGAGGAGGTATCACATGAGACGGATCAGCAACATAATGTCGAAGCATGGACACGTGAAAAACGTTATGTACTTTAGCCAACTCAGGAGGCAACTCCAGCCTGTAAGCTACCTCGCCAACTCGCTCGGTGATCATGTACGGTCCGATATACCTAGGATTCAGCTTACCTTTCTTTCCAAACCATACAACGCCTCTCCACGGTGAAAGCTTCAGAAACACCCAATCGCCAACCTCATACACTCTGTCAGTAGCATGGCGATCCGCTAAACTCTTTTGCCAATCCTGGGCCGCCTTCAGGTTAGACTTGATTACTTGAACATTTTGAGTAGTCTCCTCAACAATCTCCGGGCCCACCAAAACTCTTTCTCTGACCTCTGACCAACACAAGGGTGTGCGACAAGATCTACCATACAACGCCTCTAAGGGTGCCATGCTGATACTCGAATGAAAGCTGTTGTTGTAGGCAAATTCCATTAAATCCAACCGCTTGTGCCAAGCATCACCAAACTGTAACACCGAAGCTCGCAACATATCCTCCAAAGTTTGAATGGTTCTCTCTGACTGTCTGTCCGCCTGAGGATGATACGCCGTACTATAAAGTAGTCTCGTACCCAAAGCCTCCTGAAAAGCTACCCAAAACTTAGATGTAAATCTTGGATCACGATCCGAGACAATACTCACAGGGACACCATGGTACTTCGCGATTTTTGAGATGAACAACTCAGCTAATCGGCCCAAAGAATACTTCTCCCTTACTGGAATGAAATGTGCTGACTTAGTAAGCCGATCAACAATCACCTAAATGCCGTCAAAACCATTATGTGTACACGGAAGCTTGTACACAAAATCCATAGTAATGTTTTCCCATTTCCACTCTGGAACGGGAAGCGACTGCAACAACCCAAACGGTTTCTTCCTTTCCGCCTTAACTTGCTGACAAACAGCACACCTACTCACATACTCAGCTATTTCTCTCTTCATACCCGGCCAATAATAAAATGGTCGAATGGTATGATATATTTTAGTAGCTTCTGGATGCATAGCATAAGCCGAGATATGTGCTTCATTGAGAATTGCTTTCTTTAAATCCAAATTATTAGGCATAAACATCCTACCCTCCTGCATTAGCATGCCATCCTAATCACGAACTCTGAGGTCTCTCCTCCTCCCTCGATCTCGAGCTTGGATCAATTCTTGAGTTTCCCTATCAGCTACCTGAGCTTCAAGCACCCAATCAACTAAAATTGGCCTAACTTGAAAATTAGCAAGTAAAGCCACCTCTCGATCTTCTGCCTCCAACCTCACTCCCATAGATCTTAAGTCTGCCAAAAGAGGAATGCGATTAGCGTACAACGCATTGATACGGCCCTGAGATTTCCTGCTAAGTGCATCAGCCACTACATTTGCACGACTAGGGTTATAGTCAATCATGCAGTCATAATCACTAAGTAGCTCCATCCACCTCCGCTGACGAAGATTAAGATCCTTATGCGTAAAAAGATACTGAAGACTGTTATGATCTGTAAAGATCTTACATTTCTCCCCATAAAGGTAATGTCTCCACAACTTCAACGCAAAAATAATGGCTGCTAACTCCAAATCATGTGTAGGGTAATTCAACTTATGAGGTTTCAGTTGTCGTGAAGCATAAGCAATTACCCTACCATGCTGCATCAACACACAACCCAAACCATTCAAAGAAGCATCACTATAGACCTCGAAATCACCACTATCGTCAGGGAGCGCCAAAACAGGTGCATGAGTGAGACAATACTTCAACTGCTGGAAACTCTACTCACACTTATCATCCCACTCAAATTTAACATCTTTCCTTGTTAACCTCGTCAGAGGTAAAGCAATCACAGAAAATCCTTAACAAACCGTTGATAATACCCTGCTAAACCAAGGAAACTCCTCATCTCAGTGATGGTTCGCGGTTGCTCCCATTTCTCCACAGCTGCCACCTTTTGAGGATCCACCAAGATACCTTGAGCTGAAATGACGTGCCCCAAAAATGCAACTTGGTCTAACCAAAACTAGCACTTGCTAAACTTAGCATACAATTGGTGTTCCCTCAACCTTTTCAACACCAAAGTAAGATGTCGAACATGTTCTGCTTTAGACTTGGAGTACACCAGAATGTCGTCGATGAAAACAATAACAAACTTATCCAAATATGGCTGGAATACTCGATTCATCAAATCCATGAAAGCAGCTGGTGCATTCGTTAATCCAAATGGCATAACCAGAAACTCGTAATGACCATAACGAGTCCTGAAAGCCGTCTTAGGAACATCATCC